ACCATACGGTCCGGGTCTGGGTGGGCCAAAGGCACCATACATTTCAATGTCGACTTGATACATTTGAAACACGCCTGATGATCGTCACACCAACCGACGGAACTCAACGCCACACAGGTCAGCGTGGTCTTCTTACGGGAGTCGGCCGCCTTGGCCGAGATGTCCATAAGTTTCGTCAACGGGGCCACCAGCTCCATATACTGAGGGATATTCGCATGCATATTCGCATGCATCCAGTTCGCAGCACACAGGAACTGTTGGAGGTCCGCGGCCGTCTGTGGCGGCTCCAAATCGCAAAGGCCTTGCACTCGGCCCGGAGCATGGGCCACGCCGTTCGCAGAGATCTCCTTTCCGCACCATACGGTCATCGTCGTGAAAAACGTACACTTGCCCGGATGCAACTTGAGACCGTACGTCTGGCATACGGTCAGTACTTGACGGAGCAAACGTAGCAAGTCGTCCGTATTCTCGGCGTATCCCAGCAGGTCATCGAGCCAACCGAGCAGACCGTGCATGAGCATGTCTCCGAACAGCTCGTCCCCAACGCCTTGATAGTACGCCACCGCATCCGACTGGCCAATCAGCACCCGCGTTGGAGTGACAACCCATACCGGCGTCATGAAAGAGTAGTACTCCTGGGAGTTAGGGTGTAAGGCCAGTTGCCAATAACCCTTCATCCAGTCCAGAGTGAAGTACACCGTAGAGCCTTGCAGTACGGACATCGCAACTTCTAAGTTGGGCATCGGCCATGGCATCGGCTCCGTACACGCGTTGATCGGCCTTGAGTCGATCGTCATCCGTAGGTCGCCTGGGTCATTCTTCGGGACGATACGGGGCACGGCGGCCCAACGTGACCGAGTGTTACGGTACACCAAACCGGCTTCTTCAAGCTCACGTACGTGCTTCTCCAAGTACATGGGTCGGTGGGTAACGCCGAAGTCCTGACTTCACTGGAACGGATCCGGGCTTTAGATGCACCTTCAACGGCTCCACCTTGACCGGAGGATCCCGACCGAACTTCAAACGGAATACGTCCTTGAACTCCACCAGTACGTCTTGTAAGCGCCGTACGGACTCTTCATCCATGCCCTGGGAAGGTCCGTACCCCAGTCTGGAGTCGCGCAGCACATCCCTTCGTCGTCGTCGATGTCGTCCACCAACGTCTCTTCCATAAGGAGGGGTAACCCAGCTTCTGCATGACCGGCAGGCCTAAGGTCAGTTCCACGCCGGCCACAGCTCCGTCGACCCATACGCGCAACCCGCTCAACATCAAGGGTCCACATCCGGTCTTGAATTCCAAACTTCCAAAACGGACTTGCTTGGTCACGACGACCGGTCGACTGTCCGCTCCGTACGGCCGTAGGGAAAACGGTCCGATGGTTGTGATCTCTGGTGCAGCACCTGCTGCCAGTAAGGACGACACGAGGCCACCAGATGCCACCGACAAGGCAGCTCCGGAGTCGAGCAACGAAACATTTACGATCAACACACCTTCTACTGTAGCTATCAATTTTGCACGTTCCGTATGTCGGGATCCGTTTTCATTGTGGCCATACGGTGTCCATTTCCACGTTCACCGTCCCTTCGACCACGATTACCGTCGCTCCGTCCACGGCCGAGGGATCGTCCGTGTGCCTTGAGGAGCTTCACTGCTTCCACTTCGGTGATACCCGGGCACTCCCGTACGCGATGGCTCGTAGACTTGAACTTCAGACAGCTGTTCGCTGACGTCAGCCCAGGTGATGCCTGGGGCGTCGTCGCTGTCGCTGGTGCCCGCGGTGTCGACTGAGTCGGAGGCGTACGGAGTCCGTGTGTACCTCCTTGGTTCGTCTTGGGTGGATCCGGCTTCGCAGCGGGCTTCGTATCTTCTTCGTAACCGACGAACCGTTCGTGCCCGATCGCGTACTCCCGCAACCACCGTACGAAACGGTATACGTCCTTCTTCAACGGCTTGTTGCGTGTCAACGCCATCTGCTCAGTCACGGCACGATGGAGCGACACCGACTTGACCGCGTCCGTAATGATCTTGACGATCGCTCGGCTTTCTTCCTTGATCACCCATTCCTGACGGTCGCGACGGATGGCGGCTGCCAGTCCATCCAAGATCTTTCCAATACGTGAGTCGGCATCTTGTACGGACATGTCTAACACGACAGCCGCCTTGATCCGTTTCTTGAGCTTGTCCAGCGCCCGTGGGTCGACGTCATAACCTTGCCGGAACCACGCAACCCATTCGGCTTCCGTCGCTTCATACGGGTCCTTACCCATATCCCACTCAGCAATACGTTGCTTGCTAGCTGGATCGATACATACGTTCACCGGCATAACGAACGGTTTAGTCCCATTAACGGTAAGGGTCGTTGTCTGGCTGATGGACAAGTTGTACGCAGCTATAAACGTACGTCGTTCCTCCTTGGTCGATCCCTTGAACGTCGAATGTTTCGGGAGGGCCGAAGCGTTGAGCAGGTACACGTCCGTCTGGCCCATGTCCGCGTCTTCGTTCTCCGCGGCTGGGCCATCCGTAGGCGCCGTTCTGTCAGGCGCTGGACCGGTCGGCCGTCCGTACGTCCATGACTCGTCCACTGCCACCGGCTGTTGGCGTCCTTGGGGTGATCGGAACAGTCGTCGCACCGTCTCTTGGCTCCGCAGCCTTCCACGGTCTTGGAATCGGCCTTGGAATGCAGATCCGGCCGTCGGACTTGCGGAGCGATCCAAAGGCGATCGATCTTCGCGTTCTTCATCGTGGTCGCTGCCAGGGAGCTCCACGTTCATGGCACGGTCGTTCCCACTCGAGGGGTCTTCCATGCGTTCAGATGCTAGCGTGTCTAAAGACAGCTAAAGAGTACTTTGTTGTCTTGCGCCGGTGTTCACAACCGACGGCTACCGTGTTCACAACGGTGATCTCGATGACAAATCCAAAAGTGAACTTCATTATCAATCATGTCGAAGTTCTTCCTCACAACCAATCATCTGCTACAGTGTACCTCAGCCACTGAATAAACTGTTGTCGACGGGACACGGCGAATTCGCATGTGTCGCAGGTGAAGGATTTAAATTGACGTGGGCGATCGGTAGCGAAGTCGGGGTCGGTCTTGACGAGGCTTTGGAGAACAGTGGAGCTGGGGTGTCCGAGGCGGTTGTACCAAAGATGAAATTGGGCTTCGTAAGATAGGCGTGTGTTAGAGGTGGTGGCAGTAGCCAGTGCGAGTGAAGGCGTCCTGGGTGTTGAGGAAGAGGCGGAGGGGATGTGGTGGTAGTTGGAGAGATGGGAGCGGAGTAGATTGGGGTGGCAACGTTGGAAGTGAGAGACGAGGCTTCGATCAAAGGGAATTTCGAAGTGCCGGGTAAAGAGGAAAGAGGGACGAGGCGTAGGGGTTGGGGGAGAGAGCTTGGTGGTAGGCGGTAATGAGAAATGTACAGCCTTGCTTGATGGAGATTTGAAAATAGTGTGTGTAGGCGAACGTCCAAAGTAAATAATATAGATGTGCAATTGATCGATTACTTCGGAGCGCGCCGCGGCTTGAACGGTAGACTCGGGCGTATAAATGGAGGACGGAGTAGGCGTGGCGAAGTTGATATGGAATGGGTCTGCATCACTAAGGAAATGATGAGCTGCTTGGTTGGCCTGAAATTCCATGATGGCAGCTGCAACGGCAGCAGGAGGAGAGTGAGGTGGAGGGTTGCTAGCAAGGCGTGTGTAGGGCTGCGCTGGGAAGGAATAAAGGCCCAAGGCGTTAACCTGAGCACGCAGGTAAAGGCTACGACCGATATCCATGAGGCAGTGCGATGGATGCGAGAAGTCGAAGTGGCAGCCGGCTTGAACAGAGTGACGGACCGAGAGGAGGTTGAATTTTAAGGCGGGGCAATGTAGGGCAAAGGGTAGAGAGAGAGGCTCATGATGAGCGGTGAGATTGACCGAGGTTTCGCCAGAGTGGGTGGTAACGCCAAGATCGATAGGCCCGTAGCGGAGAACAGGAAGTTTGCCGCCATCGCCCACTGCAAGAGTAAAAGATTTGTCAACAAAGTCGATGAAGTAGCGACGGTGAGGCGTGCAGGAGGCGGTGGCACCAGAGTCGATGATCCATTCGTTGGAGAGCTGGGGATAGAGTGAAGGTTCCATGGGGAATGGGTTAGTGTGGTTGGGGAAGTACACCTTCTGGCAGACTGTGTCCCAGGTGATTCCAACGTAGAAGGGAAAGTGGGTGGTCATTGTGGGGGGGCGTGGGGTTGGCTTGGTAGTCTTTGAGTTGGAGGTTGTCCTTGATGAGCGGGATGGGTGGTGGTCGCGCTTTGGGATGGAGACCGGTTTGGTGCTTGAAAAGATGATAGGCGACACACTTGTCATAAGAAGGTTGGTGAAAGGCGTCGACGGTAATGTTGGACATTTGACCGTAGGCGACGTCATGAATTGGACCCCAGAGGTATTCCTCATCGGAGGAGTAATAAGGACGCGCAGTGCGGGGAGGCGGAGGTTCGCTGTAGGCGCCACCGCGACGGTTGAGGCGTACGGGTAGCTGTCGTGGCGGGTTAACATAATTGGCAGGCGTGGGAGGTCGTGTAGTGAGTTTGCTAGAGTTGGGAGGCGTGCGCGGAGGGTGAATGCGATAGTCGGTAAGTGGGGGCAGCAGAGAGTCATCCACCGTGGAAGAGGGCGGGGGAAGTGGTATGCAGTTTTGTTGAGGAGGGAATTGTGGTTACTACTCCGTTCCACAAAAACTGTCAGGTAGATTTTCACTTGATTAAAGTATGCACTGGGCAATTGAAACGACTTGCTTTTTGTATGCCACTCCAAAACACCATAACCCGCACCAAAAATTTTATTGTATTTTTTTTATGTCTCATTGAAGAGACTTGACCATGGCATCGAGGTGAACCTCCTCACCAAGTCGGCTATTCAAATGAGCCAAAGCGCTCTCGTAGGACGAGGCGTCAAACTCGACATTATACGATGCAAAGTCTGCAATGAGAGCGTCCTTCTTCATGTGAGGACGCTTTGCTTTTACTCGTTGGTGCCATGTATTTCAATGGACAATTCCATAACTTTTTGAAGGGTTACGAAAGTCTTTGCAAGCGTGTCAGTCGGCAACTCATAGAAAGCATTTTCTACAGCAACAATAAGCTCCTCGATGGTTCGAGTGCACTTTTGGTACTGTAGGCTTCGAATAGAATTAAAGAATCCTAAATCTAACACGTTGAAATCGGGGCTGTTCGGGGGTTGGTTAGCCACTCCAATGCCACAAACTCCATGTGCACAAAGCTTTTCTGGCTTGCATTGTCTTGTTGGATCAGCACATTACCCCGTCTGCCACATCTAGGAAACTTTTGATGAAACTGGGATGGCCACGACAGTCATGCAGCCCACGCTCGTGGTCAATAATGGGTCGGATAACTGTCCCAGCATAGTTTGATTATCAAAGATTTGCACATTTCCAGTGGACCACCCCAGCACAATAGTATGGTCGTGGACGATCAAGCATGTGACCACACACTGGGAACTGGCGGGGACAACCTTATTTAATATTGTATTAAAATAAAGTGGTGCGTCGACGTATTGTGGGGTGGTGACCATGGCGCCCTTCGGCCTGTTCTTGCTTCCACGCTGCGCTGGCGCCACTTGAACGAAGGGCCAAACACCACCGTTGCCGTCCCATTCCTTTTTGCCGTGTGGGTCATATCGCGGCCTGGCCACAGCGGCAAGGAACATCACCTTGGTGATAAAGCGCTTGGACTTGACCGCCCGAGCCGCGACCTCTTCGTCGTCGTACATATAGTACCTACGTTTAACCTTCATCAAGTAGAACCACTTTTCGTCAACATGCACATAGTCGTGCATGTCGTTGAAAAGATGGCGTCCACTTGGCAAAGGCCGAACGAAGGACATGGCAAACTTGAGTCGTTCTTCGATGTTCGCAGGGGT